TATATATAACTGTTCCAGAGAGTTGACGTCATGATGTCACACGTCCGTGTAATGATTCCAGAAATCTCTGTGTTTATCCAGAACTCAGATCTCGAACCGTTTCTCTTCAGCCGGTTGTCAAAGGTCAAATGAAGTGCGGGTGTCGAACACGGGGCGATTCGGACTTCGTGATCCGTTCAGCACCGAAGAGCAAGTGACCGGCGCTCAGTGTTCTGAGTTATCGACATTTTCTTTGGGGCTTTAATGAAATCATCGTTAAATATGGAGCAGAAGTCTGGTTTAGATTTTTAGATTCTCTGTAGATTAGAACACACGTCTCGTGAAAGTATTTCATTACCTGACGTGGATTTGGTTTGAGACACTTGCTAACTGAGATCGTCCCTGGAGTAAAGTTCCTGTGCGGCGAGTGCGGCGGTTTGCGTGCGGACGTCGGAGGTCAGAGGAAACGAGTGACACGGTAACTGAAGTTGTATGAACGTGTGATTGATGAGTGAGTCAGGGTGAGTTCTTCTTCTCCCCCCCGGGGTCAGTCAAGGTGCTTCAGAGACATTCGTCCAAGATAACGACACGACGCATCTGTTCTTCACCAGATTCACCTTCATGAAGATCACGGAGTCAATGATCTGATGTTCGAGACGTTTCCTCTCTCAGAGTCTGAAGCTTCATGTTTCATCTGTTTCAGTTTCACGTTCGGGGACTAAAGAATCTTGTCTCACGTTCCGTACGTCCTGTCCTCATCACCTACGTGGGCGTCGTCCTCCTGTACCTGACTCTGATTGGGCGTGTTGTCAGTTGGGGGGTGGGGGGGGGTAGTAGTCTTTCTGTTTGAATGGAGAAAATGAATGAAGCGCTTCATTTGGTTGCCATGGTAACATCATGATGGTGTTACTAGTAGCATAAGCTATGCAGTACTCCACAGTACTCCACAGTACTACAGTACTCACCATACTGCAGCTGCTTCCTCTTCCTCTTCTTCTTCTTCTACTGTTTAATGCGTCTCTGCTTCCTGTGATTGGTCCAAAAGTTGAACTGAAGAGTCCGAAGCTCTGAAACAAACGGGGGAGTGACATCATAACTTTACTGTGTCACCTGGTCAATGTCCGACCACTGGGCCGGCTCCTTTTCAGGACAGCGGGACAACGTTCTGGGAGCCGTTGGCTCGTTGTGGTGAAACGTCCTCGGTGTCTCGTGCACGTTAAGGTCGATGACGATGAATCTGACCTCAGATTCAGATCACACAACATTTAAACTGACTTGAGGTGAATTGACATGTTTTTAGTGAACGCTGCTCTGAACATGCACACGTGTGTAAGGTGTGTCACACGTGTGTGTGTGGTACAAGGACTTCTATCAGTTTTTGGGCCAAGGTCTTTCCTGCGTTTCCTCAGTTATTCTCTCTCTCTCTCCCCTTTATCTTCTCCTCCTCAGCACATTAGCAGCCTCTCGCAGGCCCTCCCTCATTTTCTTCACTGTGTGTGTGTGTGTGTGTGTGTGTGTGTGTGTGTTTTCTCAGCCGCCACATAAGCTAATTATCTTTATCAGTGCAGCCGCGGTTCTACAACACGAGGGTTTGTTTCATCGTGTGACGAGACGCTTTGAGGAACGAGAATCTTCTCGAACGTGTCAAACATTGTTCCGACAAAACGTCTCATCTCCACAACATTGACGCTGTTTTTAACAGATAAGTTGTTTTTGTCCTCCGTCCTCCTTCGCTCCTCTCCCCCCCCCCTTTTCCTTTATTTCTTCATTTCTTCCCGACTTAACTCTCTTCTATTATTCGCCCTGTACTTAGCATAATCCCTTCGACCATTTCTCATGTGTCCTCGCCCACTGACGGATGTGACCTTCCTTCCTCTTCTGTTTCCTTCCCTATTACTTCCTTCTGTCCTTCCTTTATCCTCATCTTATCCTCCGTTCTTCCCACATTTAAATATCCATCTCTTCTCCTGCCAGTTGGCTCGATCCTCTCGCTGCTGACAGAGGGACATATTGCCTTCTCAACAGAAAACAAACCCCCCCCCCCCACCCCAACGATTGCTAGCTAACCTGGGAACGCCATCTGTGGAGTCCCGCCCGGCACCATGGGACGTGGAGTTTCGCGGAGCTCAGCAGTTGCTTTGCTCGGCTCCATATTGACCCGTCGATGCTGCAGAGTCTTTCATCTCTGTTTCATCT